TTACGCCATCTGCTGGTCTCTGGCCTTAGTTTTTTAAACACCACCATAAATTGATCAATACTGATCATTTTTCACTTCATAAACCTTTTGTAAAATTTTCAGTTTAATTATTTCACTAAAAACTGTCTTCAAGGGGGGGCCTCGTGTAGCGAAGCTCTGAAGTGACAGATGCCTGAGAAGTATTTTTATTCATTCAGAACATATTTATTAAACATCTGCAGCATAGCAAATTTGGGCCAAGTGAACAGTCACAAACAAACCCGCATCTCTGACCCCGTTGCTTAGATTTCCTAGGGACAAATAAGCAAATACGAGTTATGTGAGGCGATGCGCGTCAGCAAGAGCGAGCCGGTCCGCTGTATCCAGCGTGATCCGCTGACGCAAAGCACTTGTTCCCTCAGAAGTGCATTAAGACGACTAAGGTAGTGAATGCCTGCAGTTACAGACCCTTCCTGGTATTTCCCTTAGTTTAACTTGGAAAATTTATAGCATTAAAATTTTGGGGACTAGCTGGTGGCGTGGTGGTTGAGGCCTTGGAACTCACATTGCCAACTGTGCGGTTCGAGTCTCAAACCCAGTGGTTTGAAAAACGCACTGGGTTCATGTGTGTGCCCTCAAAATTCTAAAAGAATGGAGAAGAGACGGAGGTGTGGCCACCACTGGAGGAGGAGTTTCTTTCTTTCTCTTTCTCTCTCTGGTGCAGATGCTCTGTAGCAAATTTCAAAAAGAAAAAGTTCTTGTGTTTGTGTTAAAAAAAGAAAATCCCATGAGCACTTAAGAGTATATAGAGATGCTATTTCTAAAAGCTATTCCTGAACTTTTAAAAACTTATGAAAGGTCTGAAACATATAAAAGTACAAAGAGATAGGGCCAGCAGGTGGCATGGTGGTTAAGATGCTGGAGTCCCTCATGGCTGACTGAAGTTTGAATCCTAGACCAGGCAGCTTTGAAGGTCATGCTGGGCATGTGCGCTTGTATGCCCAAAATCCTTCCAGGAGAATGGATTGCAGCACAGCCATCCCTGGGGTGGTGGTGGGGGTGTTTCTCACTTTCTTCTCTCTCTTTCTCCAGCAAGTGTACACGCCCTCTGGCAAAAACCTGAAAACATGAATTAATAAGATGGCCTGTAAATGGGATATTTACAAATAAACTTAATAAAAAAGCTAGGAAAGAAAAACTCACCAGGCTCATCCATGCCAAAAATTCTGAGAGGAGAATGAAGAAGAAGGGATTGTGGTGTGGCCATTCCTGCATGCTAGGGGGATGATTTCACTTTCCTTCTCTCTATCTCTGTCTCTGTCTCTCTCTGGCGAGCACATATGCCCTATAGCAAAATCTTTAAAAAATCAGAGTAGTGTAAGGAATCCCTACTTACCAATTCAAGGATTGATCCTTGGCCAATATTGTTTATCTAAATCTTTTCTTCAATTATGCAGCCTCCCCAGCCCCTGCTCCCTTAAGTTATCTCGGCCACTTGGTTTCACCTGTAACGGCCTCCTGTGGATGTCCAAGAGAGCCCTGTGTGAGCACCAGGTGTGTGTGGTGGACACCCTGGTAGAGTTGTGGGCACGTCTATCACCTGAATACTTCAGTATTTCTCTGATATTTTCTTTTTCTTTGTTCTTTTCCCATATGTTCTTCCAATTGTAAGCTGATTCTATTCTTTAGCTCATCTATTGTGTTCACTGTTTTAAATTCTGCTTGCTTCTCTTTTGTCTTCTTATCTGCTTTGGAGTGCTTAAGAAGAGCATTTTAAATTCTTCCGCTGTCTGTTCTAAAATGTAAGAACTCACTGGAACCTCAACATTACTGCTTTTGTTTTCAAATAGTTACACTCTTCAAATGTCTTATTTCTCTATATGCAGCCATTGTCCCCTGAGGCTTGGCTGGGTGTTGGATATGGGGAATGCCCTAGGGAGACGAAGGCTGGGCAAATGAGGGGGCGCCCAGTGGAGGGGCCTAGGCCCAGAAATCCACTCAGATCTCAGGTCTAGCTTCACATGTTGTCCTGCCCCTGCAGCTGTTCGAGGACACTGTGACTCAAGCTCCTGAAGCAGGAGACCGGGGAACACTGGTGGGACTGCTGAGCTCCCATACAATCCAGCTCTTACCAGCACAGCCTGCGCTGCACCCAGTAGGGTGCCATGAACATGTATGTGTGTGCTCCTCCCCCACACATACATATACACACGTATGTATCTTTTCTTTTCTCTTTCCTTTTTTCTTTTTTGTCAAAGAGCACGTACACTTATTGGAGAGAGAGTGGGAGTGAGAAATCACTCCCCAGAGGGTTTGGCCACACCCTCCCCAGAGGCAATGGCCATACCACAATCCCTTCTCCATTCTTCTCTTGGGCCCGTACACACACACACCCAGCATGTTTTTCAAGCCATCAGGTCTAGGACTTGAACTATGGCGTCAGCCATGCGGGATCCCGTGCCTTAACCACCACGCCACCCTGCTCTTTGCCAATTTTATAGACAGAAAGGGTACAGCACACAATTTAAAGCTACAAATGAAATAAAAATACAGGGCCAGTCAGTGGCTACGGTGGCTGGATCCTACATGGCTGGCTGTGCAAGTCTAGTCCTGGGCCTGGTGGTTTGAAAAACACACTGGGCACATGTGCATGCATGCTCAAAATCCCAAGGGAGGGAGAGAT